TTCCTAACGACTTATCGATCTATCAACACACGTGCACTCACACAGACATACGCATTCATGTTTTCTTCGACAGGAATCGAATTTGTATTCCTATACGGAAACCGTCATTTGCTCTACCATTTAGTTTTTGGTAACCAGACGCTTCTCTGTAGCTAAATGGTACAGCACGCCAGATCAAATGACAGTTTCCTTATAGGAATACAGTTTCGATTCCTGTCGGAGAAACATATTTTCTAAGAAATTTCTGGAACATTCAAGTCGGTAAAAATCATTAGTTCTGCTTAATAAAAAAACTGAACATTTACGCAAATAAATTTTATCTAGAAAAATAACGTTTAAACAATATATATATATATATATATATATATATATATATATATATATATATATATATATATATATATATATAAGGGTTCCTGGTAGGGCCGGGTACAGCCCGCGTTGATCAACGGCCGGAGAGTACACGATGATTGTATATCTGGGCAACCTTTCTTTTAAACATGTTTTGTTGAATACGACCAAAAGAAAATTTAATTAACTTTTTATTTATTTTTTTCCAGCATTCTTATATTTTTTTTTTTTTTTTGGTGAGAATAAGGGAGTATGAAAATTGTCTTTATTGTCCATTGTTCCCAGCGATTCTTGGACAATTCTTTAGCCATTTTGAAGGGGCTTTGTTTGAAATGGTGTTAATTTCTCTTCAGGTTTGACTGTTTCAGATGGATCACTGAAAAGGTAAGCAAACAAGCTGATTAAAACCAACATCGCAGAGATTGGAAGCCTTAAAATCAATAAAATTGTAGGTGGTTTAAAACCAGTATATCTGTATGATAATGTAAAACCCGATAAACCAGGTTTTCCTCTCTGACTTATCAAATCAATAATATCTAGATCAGTATACTAGATACCAAAAACAAAAAAACCTTAAGTGACATAAATTATCCATACACACCCAAATTATAACCTCGCATCAACAAAGATATTCCTCCATATCTTTAAAACATCAAATCCCACGGGGAGGAGACTAGCTTGACTCGAGGTTGAAAATCTTTTCACCAACGTCCCAGTTAAAGAAACAATTAACATAATTAGTGACTGCATCAGCAAACAACCATTAACCTCTCTTCCAGAAATTCGACAGCAACTTCCATCGGAAACTGCTTCTCGCTTGAACAAGGAAAGCCACATTCTATGATCATATCGGTAACCACTACATTCAAACTAATGGTGTTAGGTCCTGCTTTCTCTAACTTTTACATGCTTCATGTTGAAAATAAAATGTTTAAGACAGCTGATAAAGCACCAATCTGCACAAGTGTTATGGTCCAGGTTAGGACCAAGGAAGAACAACACAAACACAAGAGTCGAAATAAAGAAGGTATATTAACACGAAATAATAATACAAGATGTGGAAGGTGTTAGTATGACTGTCAGTCTGGTTTGGAGTGAACTATTATCGGCTCGACTCGATTCGATATTTACCTGCCCCACCCCCCACGAGGGAATAAATGTGGCACAAGGCCGAGTTTTACGTGGGTTTCCCGAGCTCTTAGGCTCGGCCAAAAAATGCTCGTAGAAACTGTAAAAACAAAATCGGGTTGGTCAACCTCCCCGAACGAGGCTCTACCCTTCGGCGGAGCCTCGTCCGAGTTCCTCTCTGCTCAGAGGCAGAGAGTTCGACCGTCAAGCCAAGAAGCTCGACTTGATTCGGTATCTAGCCACCCCTCCACGAGGGTTGTATATGGCACAAGGCAGAGTTGAATGTGGGTTTCCCGAGCCCGTAGGCTCGGTCAAAAAATGCCCGTAGAACCCGTATAAACGGGATCGGATTGGTCAACCTCCCCGAACGAGACTCTGCCCTTCAGCGGAGCCTCGTCCGGGTTCCTCTCTGCTCAGAGGCAGAGAGTTCGACCGTCAAATCAAGAAGATCGGCTTGATTCGTCCCTCTCTCTTGAGAGGCGTAGTATACATAGTGTTAGGAAGAGTTCATTCTGTAGTTATACGTAAGGACCCATGGCATTTGACGAAGTTATACATCTAAAATCAACTTTTGAAAAAAAACAAAAACCCTAAAAAACCTCAATGCCAAAATTTACGTATAAACTCATGGTTAATAACAAAATCCTATTCGTTGACGTCGATATAAAACTAAAATCCAAACTATTTACCGCCTACCCGTATAAAAAAAACAAAAAAACACCATTACGAACTCTTGTCTTCCAAACAACGATAGCTAATGCTTGGTTAAATGGAAGTGATAAAAAAATTCCTAAATAAAGTAATCCTAAATTCCTCTTCCCAAGTAATATTTCTAAGCGAATTAAAACTCGTTAAACAAACATTAGTCAATAATCATTTGCTAACTACATCATAACATCAAATGATTCTTACAAAATACACACGACACCAGTAATCAAAATACAACACAAAACAACAACATAATTTAATGCAACTAGATTCACAATAATTATAAACATGACGAATTCTCTAAACGAATAATCATTAAACACCATATTTCTGCGGTAATTCCGGAAAAAATGTAAAAGTTATATTACAAAAATTGAAAAAAAGTCAAACCCTTTTTGTCACTAATCAAAATAAACCCATCAAATCTAAACTAGCGATGTATAGTGATAGTATATCAATTTCAATGTCCGGTACAAGACTGTGTTTCTTGTCAAAAATCAATTACCAGTACCATACATACTAGTAGTTTGAGTAGATTCATCACGTGTCACTTATCAGATCAAAGTATTATAAAAAAACATCTATCCACCCAAAATTTACAAGAACCCTTAAGAAAAATTCTAGACGAAAACATATAAATCCTATTACCGAAACATTTCGCCGCGACAGAGGCCCCTATATAAGACATCTCGTTCCTACTATCAACCTCATATTATTCAACAGTGGGAATTGTGTATTGAAAATTTTTAAAAATATAAAGACGCTCACTCGAATTCCACTTGCAGTCAACACGCGAGCCTCGGAATAAACGTTCAATATATTCAACGTATCCAAAAAACAACGCAAAAATACATCTTAAACAGTCAAAACGTGAAGATAAATTAACAAAACCTAAAGCCAGCGCCCTTGAAAATGGCTAAAGAAGTGGGTGAAAACGCTTGCACAATGGACAATTCGGACAATTACATTTTCCTTGTCTGTCATATTCAACGAAACATATATATATATATATATATATATATATATATATATATATATATATATATTCCGCTCCGCTGAAGCAACAGAGGAACTAGCAAACATGTGTGCAAAGTTATTTAATTGAGCTTTTAAATCACTAACCAAACCAGCAGAAATAGATATAAGTTTTGCCAACTGATTAGAGAAGACCTCAAACCCAGAAAAAAATTTCTCCTTGTCAGGCATAAAATGTGGAATTACAAAAATCCAACCCAAGAGCAAGAACAAATGATTCAAGCTCAGTTAGTTCAAAAGAAGATAAATTTATAATATTATTTAAATTTGGTTCCACTGTACCTATACCTCTTATGTGCCACGATTTTAAACTTAGCTTAAAGCTTAGTTAATAATAATCAACAACTTTCAACCAGAAGCCTGGGTTTAAAGCAGGGATGTGAGAGATTGTGGTACTCCTGTAGGAATTTAAGTTCCTTCTTTGATTAGATAAGCTTATCAAGGTATTTGGGTTGGGTCCATCAACGTAAGTGTGTCAAATTATTAACTATACACACACACACACACACACACACACACATATATATATATATATATATATATATATATATATATATATAGACGTTTGGACCACTAACACAAAAAGAGAATATTTAACATCGAAAAACATAGAGGAGAAAAAAATGAATTATTTTTAATAATATGTGGAAATCTCCATCCTTTGCCTGATGATGGTCACGAGACCAGAAACACGTGTAGTAAAATTATGGAAAATTATGGAAAATAAAGCATAATACTTTTTTTAATCCACATTACAACCAAAAACGTTTTCGGTTTATCTCTTCTTTTTAATACACACTTTTCTCTCGTTGGAACTACTATCATCTCTTCCTTTTATATATATATATATATATATATATATATATATATATATATATATCTTAAGAGTTGACTTTCTTTTTTATTATTAAAGCTTTCTTTATTTTTAATCTTTTTTTTTTACAGGTGGGTGAAGTTATTATCTTTGTGTTTTCTACGAGTTTTGTCTCTAATGGAGTCTGGTAAATTTGTGTATGTGTTTAAATGGGTTCTAATGGAGCTGTCATCAGATAGGTGTAACGTAAGACGTCTGGATAAGCATGTGGTTGTGTAACCGATGTAATTATTTATGAGTCCGGTTTGATCAGAAATCACAGTTCCTTAAGGGGCATTTGAACTCATAAATAATGTTCGTTCTTTGTAATTTTGACTTAACTGGTGTGTTGTTATTTTTGAGGATAAGGTTGGCTGTCTTAAATTTTTTATCATAGATAATTAATTTGATTTTTTTTATTCGGGCCAATTGGGGTAGTGCATTTCTTATAATTTGTCTTAGTGAAGGTTCGTCTTGTTTATAGTTAATATGCATTTGGTTTTTCTAATAAATGTGTAATTTTATACACACACACAGACACACACACACACACACACATATATATATATATATATATATATATAGAATGGATGTCATTATTTTAACTTGATGGGACCATTTCGAGCAACACTTTCTCAAAAGCTTGAAATAATCAAAGACACATTAGTAAATAACGAACGAGGAGGAAAAATTGGAACACAATTAAAATAAATATTAATTAATAAATTAATGGCTAAAAACAAAATACGAAATTACAAAAAGACTATAAAATGGAAAATATTACTCAACCCTTCGATCTATATATATATATATATATATATATATATATATATATATATATATATATATATTGTGGGCACATTTTTGGAATGGGTGGGTATGGTTATGGATACGTATGTATATATACTTGTATGTATATAGGTGA